ACCTCCCACTCCTATCTAATTTGGCAGCCTCTCCCCAACAATGACAAGTCCCGAATCATCACCAATCCTCTCTCCCCCTCCACTACCCACCCGGCGCCCCATGACCACTTGTGCACGAAGTGGCATCTTCAAACCTAAACTATACTCTACCTCCTATACCTCTTCCCCGCCCACCACAAAGCCTGTTACCTATAAAGATGCCTCCCAAAACAGTTATTGGTGTCAGGCTATGGATGACGAGTATAAAGCCTTGATTGATCAGAACACATGGGAGCTTGTTCACGCACCTTCAAATCGAGTTCCTATGGGATGTAAGTGGATTTATAAAATTAAGCATAATTCTGATGGTTCTGTTTCCAGGTACAAGACCTATCTTGTGGCCAAGGGCTATACACAGGAATATGGTTTGGACTACTCTAAGACCTTTAGCCCTGTGGTCAAACAGCAGACTATTCGGGTGGTTCTTTCTCTAGCAATCAATCACCACTGGCCCCTTCATCAATTGGATGTCTCCAATGCCTTTCTTCACGGTGTCATTCCTGATGAAATTTATATGAAGCAGCCTCGAGGATATGTAGATCAACAGTATCCTCATTATGTGTGCAAACTGAAGAAATCTCTTTAAGGTCTGAAACAGGCACTGAGGGCCTGGTACCAGCGTCTGTCAGGGTTTCTTGTTGATTATGGCTTTGGGAAAAATGAACATGACACAAGCTTCTTTCTTAAGCACTCTCCTTCTAACGTCCTCATAGTTCTTCTCTATGTTGATGACATTATTGTCACTAGGAGTGCCTCAGCTCTTGTCTCTTCATTCATCAATGCTATGCAAAGGGAATTTCAAATCAAGAACCTTGGCCCTCTTCACTACTTTCTTGAGCTTGAGGTAACACGCAAAAAGGATCATTTGCTTGTGTCTCAGGAAAAATATGCCCGTGAACTTCTCCATAAAGCAGGAGTCGAAGATTGTAAACCGGCACCTATGCCCCTACCCGTACGGCAGCCTGAGGAGGGGGTGAGCCGTCCGTTTGAGAATCCTACCTTTTTTCGAAGTTTAGTTGGCTCTCTCCAATATATGACAAATATGCGTCTAGACATTCGGTTTGCTGTAAATTATGTTTGTCAAAGGATGCATGCACCCGATGAGCATGATTTTCAGTCCTTGAAACACATCCTATGGTATGTCAAAGGAACTATTGGTCATGGTTTGATCTTCCGGCGTGGCCCACAAACCATCCATGCATACTCTGATTCTGATTGGGCCAACGAGATGACGGATGGATAGTCCGTTACTTGATATATTTTGGCTCTAATATACTCTCTTGGAGTACTTAAAACAGAGTCGTGTCTCACGCTCGTCCAGTGAAGCCGAGTATAGATCCCTCTCAGCCGCAGTAGCAGAGGTGATGTGGCTCACCTACGTGTTTGATATTTTACAGATCAAGCTCCCTCCTCCACATCTTCTATGCGACAATCAGTCCACCATCTGTCTGACCAAGAACCCAGTCTTCCACAAGCGCATAAAACATGTCAGAACTGATTGCCACTTTGTACGAGAACAAGTAATTGCAGAGAAAATGATGGTCTCTCACGTTCCTTCCAATGAGCAGCTGGCAGACCTTCTCACAAAGGCTCTTGCCTCACCACGCTACACTGTATTGGTTTCCAAGCTTCATCTCGTTTCACTGCGTTCAACTTGAGGGGAGATGTTAGACATATATAGAAAGAAGTCTAGTTATAGAAGAATTGTTATTTATGTTAATTTACATATTTGGTGAATCCTAGCCCATGTAGGGATCCTCGCCTATATAAACATCCATGTGCACAATTATTCATTAAGAGTGCATTCATAAATCAACAAAAGGTTCACAAATATGAAAGATTCTTTAACAAGGACTTAATATTTTTAATACTTCCAACTTTTTTTTAACTTTTAAAAGTTTCAATTGAATATTTCTTTAATTCTAGATCACTATAAAATTTTAATAAGAATTTAATGGACTATAGGTGTTGCTAAACATATATACACCCTTTTTTCTAAATCCACTCTTTTAATATTTCATCCGTTCTAAAAAGATGTTTCCATTTTGAGTTTTAGAAAATTTAAAGGAGAAATATTTTTATGTTGACTTTCCCAAAATAACCTTGATATGATGAGTAAAAATAAGATGTGATGTGTAGATTATTAGTAAAAAGGTATAGTGTGATAGATAGGTTAATAATTAGTAAGGGTAAAAGTGGTTTTTAATAAAAATGGGAAGTATTTTGTTGGACAATTACAAAAAAAAGGGAAGAAATTTTTGGGACAAAGATTTTTGTACTTACAAGACAAGTTGTGTCCAAAGTTCCTCTTAATTTTTCTTGGAATTATGAAATTTAAAAATATAATTTACGGTGTGTATGTTTACAAATAACATCAAAATTTCTAAACTGAAATATGACTAGATTATTTTATCAAATTAATAATATAAAAATAAGTAAACCAATTGGTTAAACAAAATGGGCCAACGGATATGTACATTCGTCTCTTTTGGCATCTTGGAAGTTAGCACAAGTTCCTTCTCCTCTCCTCGATCTACGACAGCACCCGGGTGAAGCTTCACTCAGTTGTTTCCATGTCTGCGATGTTGATGTCAGCGGATAAATTTCACCAATGGTATCTAAACTTTAGCTGGAATTTCGAAATGGTACCTAAACTTCAAATCCTTTCAAAAAAATCCCTAAACATACACAATCCTTTCACTAAAAGTCCATTTTCCTGTTTCTAGGTTAACTTCCGGTCATTTGGGCCAAATTAGAATTTTATATATTTTAAAATTTTCAATTTGACTCCATTTCTCTTTTTCTTTTCTTCCGCTCCCCGCTGCACCACCTCAAAATCTCCGGAAAATCAACGTGGTCCGATTCTGGCGGGACCAACGCCATTCTCTTCATCTTGAGATGAGGATCAAGAATATCCAAACCATTTTGTCCAATTTGGCCTGCAACTCCTCAAATTTGAATTTTTCCACTCGAAAAAACCCTAAAATCCGAAATTGGGGGTTTTTGCAAACCGTTATCAAATCTTGCAATTGAAGGGTCCTTGGGGGTCGCCGAGATTCCACGAACACATTAGAGGGGATGAGCCGCTTCAATTTTGTCGGAGCTGGCCGGAAAACGCTCTGACCTGACGGAAAACGCCGCCGGGTCATAGCGTTTTCCAGCCACTTCCGGAAACATTGAAGCGGCTCATCCCCTCCAATGTGTTCGTGGCATCTCGGCGACCCCAAAGACCCCTCAATTGCAAGATTTAATGACGATTTGCAAAACCCCTCAATTTCGGATTTTAGGGTTTTTTCGAGTGGAAAAATTTAAATTCGAGGAGTTGCAGGCCAAATTGGACAAAATGGTTTGGATATTCTTGATCCTCATCTCAATACGAAGAGAATGGCGTTGGTCCCGCCGGAATCGGACAATGTTGATTTACTGGTGATTTTGAGGTGGTGCGACGACGACGGGGAGCGGAAGAAAAGAAAAAAAGAAATGGGGTCAAACTGAAAATTTTAAAATATATACATTTCTAATTTGGCCCAAATGATCAGAAGTTAACCTAGAAACAGACAAATGGACTTTTAGTGAAAGGATTGTGTAAGTTCAGGGATTTTTTTGAAAGGATTTGAAGTTTAGGTACCACTTCGAAATTCTAGCTAAAGTTCAGGTACCATTGGTGAAATTTACCGTGATGCCAGCTTCTCACGTACTTTTGGTTCAGGTACATTTGGTGCTGTATTCTACTCTCATAACGGAGCTTTCTTGGGAGATATGAATGGACCCCTCTCTCGCTGTTTGT